AGCTGGACTGAGAGGGGAATTGATTTCAGCGGGGAGTTAGCCCCAGCCTCAGGGAGGAGTCCCACCAGGGGATCCTCTCCCTTCTCCTCCCACTGCCCACACACAGCCAGCACCAACTTCTCCCTGTCCCAGTACAGTTTCATCATGTTGACATGATACACCCGGGGGCTGTGTGCCCGGTTGGACAGTTCCACTACATAGTTCACCTCATTTACATGTCTGATGACTTTGAAGGGGCCGTTCCAGGCAGCTTGCAGCTTGTTCTTCTTCACCGGGATGAGGAGCATCACCTGGTCCCAGGAAGCATATGAGTGGGCACGTGCTGAGAGGTCGTACCAGACTTTCTGCTTCCTCTGGGCCCTTGCTATGTTTCCCCTAGCCAAGCCCATGAGCTCCACAAGCTTTTCCCAGAAACTCAGTACATACTCCACCACTGATTCCCCATTGGGAGAGGCCTTTCCCTCCCTCCCCTCATCAAGTCCACGGGCCCTGTCAGGGTTCCTTCCCCATTCTGAACTCTTGGGTACAGATGTGGGGACCCGCATGAAAGCTCCTTAAGCTTATTTCTACCAGCTTAGGTTAAAACCTGGAACGCTGCCACCACCAAGTGATTTAACAAGAAACAGGGGAAGGACCACCTGGAGTTCCTCTTCCCGCAAATATCCCCACAAGCCCTTACACCCCCTTTCCTGGGGAGGCTTGAGAATAATATCCTAACCAATTGGTTACAAAGTGATCAAAGACCCAAACCCCTGGGTCTTTGAACAATGGAAAAATCAGTCAGGTTCTTAAAAGAAGGATTTTATTAAAAATAAAATGTAAAAATCATCTCTGTAAAATCAGGATGGAAAATAACTTTACAGGGTAATCAGATTCAAAGAGCCCTGAGGAACCCCCTCTAGCCTTAGTTTCAAAGTTACAACAAAACAGGGATAAACCTCCCTCTAGCAAAGGTAAAATTCACAAGTTGAGAAAACAAAGATAAACTAATACGCCTTGTCTGGCTGTTACTTACAAGTTTGAAATATGAGAGACTTGTTCAGAAAGATTTGGAGAGCATGGATTGATGTCTGGTCCCTCTTAGTCCCAAGAGTGAAAACCCACCAAAATAAAGAGCACAAACAAAAGCCTTCCCCTCCCCACCGCCAAGATTTGAGAGTATCTTGTCCCCTTATTGGTCCTTTGGGTCAGGTGTCAGCCAGGTTACCTCAGCTTCTTAACCCTTTCCAGGTAAAAGGATTTTGGTGCCTCTGGCCAGGAAGGATTTTATAGTATTGTACACAGGAAGGCTGTTACTCTTCCCTTTATAGTTACGACACGCTCCCCAAATCACAGATAATGTTGGACAGCCGGTTCCACACTGGCTGTGATTTCTTCCTGGAGCTCTAGGAGAAAACAGAGTTAATAAGACACATGCACCTTTAGACATACTACTGATTATATAAAAATTAACAGTATGTCCCACATTCCAAGAACAATCGTTAACCAGTAAAAAGCAACAGAGGGTCCTATGGCATGTTTAAGACTAACAGAAGTATTGGGAGCATAAGCTTTCTAGGTTCTTACCCAGGAAAGCTTATGCTCCCAATACTTCTGTTAGTCTTAAAGGTGCCACAGGACCCTCTGTTGCTTTTTAAAAATTCAGACTAACACGGCTACCCCTCTGATACTTGATTGTTAACCAGTTGATTCTAGGAAACTTTTATGGAAGAGTGCATCAGCCACTTTGTTAGAAGCTCCTGAAATGTGTTGTATTTCAAAATCAAAATCTTGGAGAGTTAAACTCCACCAAAAAGTTTTTTGTTATTTCCCTTGGCGGTATGAAGCCACTTTAGCACAGCATGGTCAGTTTGTAGTTGGTAATGCCGTCCCCAAACGTATGGACGTAGCTTTTCCAACGCGTACACAATGGTATAGCATTCCCTTTCACTGATTGACCCGTGGGGTTCCCTCTCAGACAGTTTGTTGCTGAGAAACCGGACAGGATGGAATTCTTGATCCGGTCCTTCTTGCATTAAAACTGCTCCCACACCCCGCTTGGATGCATCTGTGGTTACTAGGAATGGCTTGTCAAAGTCTGGGGCCCTTAACACAGAGTCAGACATGAATGTCGCTTTAAGCTGGTTAAAGACCTTCTAACACTCTTCAGTCCACTGAACTGCATTTGGCTGTTTCTTTTTGGTTAGGTCTATCAGTGGAGGGATTTTATAGTATTGTATACAGGAGGATTGTTACCCTTCCCTTTATAGTTATGACAGGCTGTAAGAGAAGAGAAGAGAAGAGAAGAGAAGAGAAGAGAAGAGAAGAGAAGAGAAGAGAAGAGAAGAGAAGAGAAGAGAA